GGCGGGGCCGCTCTTCGACTCCAGGTGCGGGGAGGGAACCGGCCGAGCAGGGAGATTCCCCGATGTCCTCTCCCGCGCCCCGCGCAGCCGCAGGCTGCAAGGAGAGGCTGGAGAATCAGGGGGAAAGGTGGAGGAAAGGGTGGTAACGGGCATGAAATAGGCTAAAAAAGACAATGCCTGTTTGCTGCATCCCTAGGAGCAAGGTTTGGCTCCTGGGGGAGCAGGGCAGAGGCTGGGAGAAGGGGTGCGGGTTGGGTGCAAGGGGGGGCATTGACGGGCCAGGCTCTCCTGCACACCGGCGCCGGGGGCTTCTCTCGCTGCAGCTACTCCCGCAATCACACCTACAACACCTACATTGGGAAGGGCTACATCATCCCCGGCATGGACCAGGGCCTGCAAGGGGTCTGCGTGGGAGAGAGGCGGCGGGTGGTCGTGCCCCCACACCTGGCCTACGGGGAGAACGGAGCAGGTAAAGGGCAGCCCCTCGGGGTCCGGCATCCTGCACAGCGCAGCCCCGGGCTGTGGCGTCCCCCCCTCCAGCCCCGCGCACCGGCACACCAAGGTCTGTCATCAGGAAAGCGCTGGCCAGGCAGGGCCAGCTCCTCACCCCAGGGGCCACCCCCATCCCCAGGGCTCTGGGCAAGCAGGGGAAAGGCTGATGCCAACACAGGCAGAGCCAGGGCTCTGAGGGATGGACACGCCACGGGGCATGGGAAAAAGCAGGGAAAGGCTTTACCGGCCCCGTGGTGCTCCAGCAGCTCTCCTCATGCTCCTCTTCCAGGGAACAAAATTCCTGGCTCAGCTGTGCTCATCTTCGACGTCCACATCATTGACTTCCACAACCCTGCGGACCCGGTGGAGATCGAGACCGTGTACCGGCCCGAGGGATGCAACGTCACCACCCGTGACAGAGACTTCGTCCGCTACCACTACAACTGCTCTTTGCTGGATGGCACCAAGCTCTTCTCCTCGTGCGTGCTGGCGCGCGGGCTGCCCCGAGCACACCTTTCCTTCACCCGGCCAAATCCTGGCAGGCGCTGAGCCGGGCAGGGCTGGGGGTGGATGGGCACCGGAGCAGCGCTGGGAGCATCAGCTCTTTGCGACGGGCAGCACCGGAGCATCGGCTGCGTGGCAGCAGGCGTTTTGCTCCAGGGTGGAGGGTGCGGGATTTTGGGGCACAGCTGGCTGGATGGTGCAGGGTTTTGGGGTGTGGAGGGTGTGGGACTTCAGGGCATGGCAGGATGGAGGGCACGGGATTTTGGGGCATGGTGGGATGGAGGGCAGGGGATTTCGGGGAATGGCGGGGCTGCCCACGGGGTCCGAGGCGCTTTCTCAGCCGCGCGGTCTTCTCTGCCTGCTGCAGCCACGACTACGAGAAGCCCCAGGAGGTGACTCTGGGGGCCAACAAGGTGATTGAGGGCCTGAACAGTGGCCTGCTCAACATGTGCGCGGGGGAGAGGCGGGTGCTCATCATCCCCCCCCACCTGGGCCACGGGGAGAGCGGAGGTAGGGGAGCGGCGTGCGGCTGCCCGCGCAATGCAACCGGGGGGTTCTGCCCTGCTGAGCCGCTGCTGGGCTCCTTCACCCCCCTCGCCCCGGCTCGGGGCTGGGAGGCTCTTGCCCATCAGGGGCTCCCCAGCAGTGCAGCAGCCTTCGCTTGCTTTTCAGCCCGGGGGGTGCCAGGCAGTGCCGTGCTCCGCTTCGAGGTGGAGCTGATCTCCATGGAGGAGGGGGTTCCCGAGGGCTACCTCTTCATCTGGCACGGGGAGCCACCGGCGAGCCTCTATGAGGAAATGGACCTGAACAAGGATGGGGAGATCCCTGCTGACGAGGTGAGCGAGGGCCCCAAACGCCACCGGACCTCATGGGGTGCGGGAGGAAACGGGTGCAGGGGACCCCATCCCGGGGAGCAGCACCCAAAGGGCACTGCTGTCCCCGGGCACTCAGGAGCCTGAAGAGCTGTGCAGAAGAAACGCGCCAGCCCAGAGCATCGCTGCTGGCTGCGGGCAGGGACACTGAGGGCAGCCCGTGCTCTTGTCCCTGCCCGGTCCTCACGGCCTGGCTGCTGCCCTCGGCACGGGCCGTGGTGCTCCCTACCGTGCCCGGTGCCGGCTGCGCGGAGCAAAGCGGCATCTCTCTCCTCTCCCCGCTGCAGTTCGCCACCTTCATCAAGACCCAGGTGGCGGAAGGGAAAGGCCGCCTCATGCCCAGCTCCGACCCGGAGAAAGTCATCGCTGACATGTTCAGGAACCAGGACCGCAACCAGGACGGGAAGATCACCTCCGAAGAGCTGAAGCTGAAGTCGGATGAGGACCAGGAGAAGATCCACGAGGAGCTCTGAGGAGCAGACTCACTCTCCCCCGGAGACAGGACTCGTCCCCACCAGCCGCCCCAGGAAGCCACCCCGGGAATCTGGAATCTGCCCCTGCCCCTGCCCAGCCCCATGGCGGGGCATATTTTGGTTTGGTTTTTTTATACCCTATTATTTAACTGAGGGTTTTTTGATGTGTTCCTCCTGGGCAGGAAAACTCACCAACCCCCAGCTAATAAACCCAGGCAAGAAGGTGGGAAGCACCCATGTTCTTCAGAGCCTCAATACCCCACGGGGACGGCAGCGCCCGCGTTTGCTCGCTCTGCCTGTCCCCTCGTGCTCCCCGGCTCCGCAGACGATACCTCTGCTGTCGAGCGGGACCAAGGCTGCCAGGGCCAGACCCTGGAGCCCTGCCCTGCCCAGCTCTGCTTCCAAACCCCGCTTCGCCCCCCTGCTCTCAGCTCCCCACAGAAGGGCCGGGGCCGCAGCGTCCCCTCCCCGAGCCCCTTCGTCCTCAGCCAGCGACTGCACGTCCTGCTCCAGCCTCCCCTCCTGCCCACGCTGCCGCCTGGGGCAGGCAGGAGGGGGGTGCCCTCCACCTCTACCGCAGCATTTTGTAGTTTAGGGTTAGGGTTTGGGTTTTTTTTATATACACATATAAAATTCTTTAAAGGAGAGGAGAAATAAAGAGCCTGCTGCTGGCCCAGCCTCTGCTCCCTGCTGCCATCCTCCCCGGGATGAGAGGCTGGAGGGGGCTCGGGGTCCCAGGGCGAAACCCAGGTGTCCCACGTGGATCCAGAAAGCCTGGGCCCCCCAAGACAGCGGGGATGGGACCTGGCAAAGCCCTTGCCAGCTGGGAGAAGGAAAACAAAAAGCCTCTCCCACCCAGCCCCTCAGGGAGCAGCATCCTCCCGTTCCCATCCCCCTCCGCATCCCCGCCCCACAGCAACAGCCCTCAGTGTTCCCAGGGCGAAACCCAGGTGTCCCACGTGGATCCAGAAAGCCTGGGCCCCCCAAGACAGCGGGGATGGGACCTGGCAAAGCCCTTGCCAGCTGGGAGAAGGAAAACAAAAAGCCTCTCCCACCCAGCCCCTCAGGGAGCAGCATCCTCCCGTTCCCATCCCCCTCCGCATCCCCGCCCCACAGCAACAGCCCTCAGTGACTGAGAAAAATCAGCCCAATTTTGATGCCCAACTGCAGCTCATTCACTGGGCACTCTCAGGTTTGCCGGTTGTGACCAGCACAGCTCCATCATCTCCCACCAGCTCTAAAACCTGTTGCACAGCGTGTCTTGCAGACGGAGATAAAAGAAATGCAAGAACAGAACAGTGCAAAGGGCCAGAGCGAACCCCTCAAACGACGACTTCTACCTTGCACCAAATAAATCATTTCTACTGGTTTCCAAGGAGTTGGCCTTTGTATCGGGTTACTTCGCCATGAAACGTTCCTGCGTGTCCGGGCAGCGCGCAGAGACGAGCCTCGCCTGTCCCTGGGCGCGCGGTGCCCAGGGGGATTTCAGGCTCCAGCGCCTGCTGGGTCGGGCAGGAGAGACAGAAACCAAAACTCCGCTCCTGCACAGATGGGTTGAGCTTCAGCTCCGGCGCAGGGCGCCCGGTGACGGCCGGCGGGCTCCGGCAGGGATGGGGATGGCCGGGAGCCGGGGAGCGGAGATGCAGCTGCCAGCGCCAGCCCCAGGAGGAGAGCGGCTCTGGCCACAGCTCCTCGGAGCTGGGTACGAACCACCCGTGGCCCAGCTTTAGCCAATGTTTTTATTTCGACAAGGAGAATGGGGCCTGCAATTTCAGAAGTCACATTTACTTGTCCCGCAACGTGGAGGGCAGCAAGCGAGGGCTGAACCCGGAGCAGCCCAGAGCTCAGGAGCCAGAGCTGCCCCTGCCCAAAGGCGGCAGGGCAGGGGCTGCCGACCCGCGCTGGGCCACGCCGCAGCCGTCCCGGCCCCCAGGGACTCACCCACACCAGCACAGGTGCCTGCCGCCGTCGGAGCGGGCAGCAGGACGGGACGTGAAAGCAGTTTCCCACGTGAGGTCTGAATTTGCCCCCTGCTGAATCAGGGCTGTGACAGCTTTACCCCTTACATTGCCAGAGGTTACACAGAAAGAGGAGGCTTCTTTCTCTTGCTGCTCTGAGAGCCCAGGATCAGCCCAGCAGTTCAAGCCAGAAACATGGTTAGCTAAAATATTCCTTAAAAACCAAGATGCTGCCGTTGGCCTCTCCTCCCCCACCCGTGGGCTGCAAACACCAAGCACCCAGCCTGCTGCCGCTGCCGCCCAAACCCCCCAGCCCGATCCTCAGCAGACAAACTTACTTCTTGCTTTGTGCAGCAGCGTCGGATGAGCTCCGTGGGCCTGCGGGGATGACTGGAAAAGCCTTTTTCTTTTACAGCAAGAGCTGTAACGGAGCAAGAGGGCCAGCAGGGCTGGGGCAGGCGGGGGCCAGGGACCTGCAGGTTTCTGTGGGGCCGCGGGGCTGGGCGATGCTACGCCTGGCAGGGCCACGCCAGCCCAGCCGTGGGTGGCACCGCCGGAGCTCAGCCCGGGCACTTTGAAGCCCACAGAAAACAGGACAAGAGAGACTTGTTTTCTTAAGAACACAGTAAAACTCCAGGGCTGTCAGACACTGGCACAGGCTGCCCAGGGAAGTGGTGGAGTCCCCCCCGTCCCTGGAGGGATTTAAAAGACGTGTGGATGTCGTGCTTAGGGACATGGTTTAGTGGTGGACTTGATGATCTTAAAGGTCTTTTCCAACCTAAGTGATTCTATGATTCTATAAAACAGGTCTGTCCTCAAGCCACAGCAAACCATCTCCTTTTCTGCACTCGGCCGCTGAAGCAAGCACAGAACATCGCTACCCGAACCATGACATGGTTTGTTGTGGCCTCAGGCGCTGGCTGGGATGAAGTCCGAGTGGGACGCAGCCCGAGTGGGACGCAGCCCGAGTGGGACGCAGCCCGAGTGGGACGCAGCAGAGCCGGGCACAGGTGGGGTACAGGGAGTGGAGAAGCTTCCCCTGTCTCACCCCTCCCGTCCCAGGGCTGACCGAAGGGGGTTAGTGAGGTCGGGACGTGTACAACACGCGAGAGCCAGGGCAGGGAGCCTGCCCAGCGTCAGGATGGAGTCCAGCAGGTACCAGGAGATCCACTCCGGCTTTGTCGAGGGAAGGACGTTCACTGCCCAGGCATCTTGCTGAGGGGCCGGAGCTGGGACGCTGCCTTCCCAGCTCATGTCTCGATAAGGATGTACCGGAGAATCCCGTTGACCACATCCAGCGTCTCATCGCTCTCCAGCACGATGTCGTAGGCATCCAGGTACTTCCCCCTCTGCTCTTCCACCTGCAGCGTGGCCACCGGGACGGGGTGGAGAGGAGAAGGCCACAGAGAGAGAAGAGGACTCTAAACACCAGCAGCTGAGAATGAAGCTGCTGCACCCACAGCGCTCGCATCTCTTGGTGCTACCCAAAAGAGGGGTCAACAACCACCCTGACAATGCCCCAGGAGCACCGGGAGCCCAGCAGACACCCCCAGCTCCCTCCGCACACCCCACGGGAGCTCGTACGAATCTCTCGCATCCCCCGAAGCACTCGGGCAGCTGCAGGCCCCTCTCGGCTGCCCCTCGGGCTTTGTACCTGGGGAAGGCTGGCAGGGAAGCAAGACAACTGCTTCCCACACCCACCTTGTCATTGAGAAAGCCGATCTTGAGGATGTTCTCCACACTGGGAACGCCGTCTGCCATCGTCAGATCACCCATGGAGTCCCCCAGCAAGATGATGCTCGTCCTAGTGCTCAGCTGCTGGAAATACTCCGTACCCTGCAGGACGCTGTTGTTCTTGTTATAGGTGTGGATGAGAGGTCCCTTGAAATGGGTGAGGACTCCCTGTGCAAACAGGACAGACCAGTTGATCCCACAGCAATCCCTCCACTGTGCCGCAGCCTCGGTACCCGTTCTGGAATGGGCAAACGGGAAGGATGCTAACAGGGTACCAGCTCTCATCTTAGAGACACCCCCGAGGAGTCTGGAAACCCAGCAGCCACGAAACAGCCTGGAGGCAGCCCCCAGGAGCCCCCTTTTGCAGGGCAAGCCCTTCCCAAAGCGGAGAACAAACCCAGAGGATGGAGACCCTAGAGACCTTCGTCAGGGCCCTGCGCTGCCCTGGAGCTGGTCACGGCTGGTCACGGAAAGCCACGGTCAGGGGAGCCGCAGGGCAGAGCAGGGCCCTTGCAGAAGGCAGGACCGTCACGCTGTCCCACGCTCCCCCGAGGACGGCTTGTCCCAACACACCACCCGTGGGAACAGAGGGCTTCATTGTAAGAGACACGCAATTTTCTCATGTACATTGGGACTTTTCAGGCTTCAGTACATCAACAAAAGCCTTCCAAGCTGCTTTAAGGGACAGATCAGGAGGGACCTCTGTGGTTAACTCCATCCTCACCCTGCCCCAGGACGGAGCACACAGCGCTGGACACAGACGGCAGCACACTTCTGCCACCAGACAGCAAGTTTGAAAGGCAAAGAGTCCCTGAGACTGCGAGCAGATGCTCAGCTGCTCCCCCACTCCACCTGCCCACCGTATCCATGCTCTGCTCGCTCTCTCTGTTGATCCGACCCCCGGCGAGGGCAGGGGAACCTCTAACCCCCCCAGCGCCGATGCTCCGAGGGCTGCTATGGTGGCAGCAGGTCTCAACACCCGAAGGCAGAGCAAACGGGGTGGGAGGCCAGGACCGGCCTCTCTAGGGCTTTCCCCTGACCCAGCAAAGGGTCCGCTCCATCAACAGGGATCAAATGCTTAGAAATGTTAATAGGCAGCTTTTAACCTAGCAGCGTCTCTGTTAAACATATCACAGCCCTCAATTCCGGTCGAACAGCTCTCCTCTCTGCAAGCTCACCGCACGAACGTGACGCAGATACTCACGTTATCGTCGAAGTCCATGTAGTTGGACACCACGTTGACATTTGAGTAGAAAACGTTGGCCTGACGGATAATCTCTTCAAGGATGTCACCGACGCCAGCAGAGAAGATGAACAAGGGGACGTTGTAGTTATGCAGCTGATCAAATAATTCATTGAATCCATCCCTAGGGCAGAAGCGTCCGTTACACAGCATTGCATTACCACCTCCCAGCGAGGTGCCTGCACACCGCGGGCTGGGAGCGCTCGCAGCCCAGCTACGAGGCTCCTATTTCTGCCTGGGACTTCCCAAACAGAAATGCAAGCGTGAGCTCTGCAAAAAGCATCAGCTTTTTGTGGCACCAGCACTTCTGTGGCATTCGCTGGGCATGCAAGGGGTGGGTGTGCAGCAGAACCCCAGACCCCTCCTGGGAGCAGCGACCTAGCGAGGAGCTGCACAGGAACATGCAGCACACGAGCAATTCGCCCAGCGTCTCCCGAACGCGTCCAGCTTCTCACCGGGGGCACAGGGCACAGCGTGCCTGCAGACGCCCCGAGAGCGGCTGCTGCCGGCCCGCTCAGAAACTGTACGCTGGAGATGTGCAACAGGTCGGACTGGCTGCGAGGACGATCAGACAAACTTGTTGCAGCCTCAGTCTGCCAGGACACGATTTCTGTGCCGAAGAAGAACTTGGGTTCGTGAAAACCCAGACAGATGGTACCACCTCCTCTCTGAGACTGGCAGCTCATTCAAACCAAGGCTCCCTGAGCCGGTTTTAGGACCATCGCTGCCAAGGCCAGCCTTAACTGCAAGTTTTAGTGCAACATTTTTGTGCTGTGGGTGAAATCTGATGCTGAGCCAAGCACCTGGATAAGGCCCAGCAGCTACAGTGAGAGGAGAGAAAAATCTCTCCTGGAGAAGGGAGCTGCACGCTGCCTCCCGACCCTGCCCTGCCAACAGCCGGGGCTCTGCCGAGCCGTTCAGGGAGCTCTGCCCATCGCCCGTCCTCCTCGGCCGCTCCTTGCCAAGGCTCAAGGGACGTGGAAGCGGTTTCTGAGCGGGAAGAAGTCAGCCATGAACGGAGCAGCCTGCGGCCAGGGAGCGAGCTCAGGCTGCGGCTCGTGGCGCTGACTTTCGGCTCAGTCATGGTTAGAGCTCAGCCCCAGGAAGGAAGGGAGATTTGCATCTGCCACGCTTCGGAGACTGCGTGCAGGTCAGGGTGAGAGCAAGGAGACCGGCTTGCACAGCGGCAGGAGAGAAGGAGCCGCAGGCAGCCCACCGAACCCCGCGCCGGTACCTCAGCATCACGTCCGACTCTCTGACTATCTGGGCTATGTCGCCCTTCTGGATCTTCTCCTGCAACAGCAGCTCGTGGGCCCTGGTCCACCTAGGGAAAGGCAGCAGAGTGAGCTGCCCGGGCAGCAGCCTTAAGGCAGTCAGAAAAATAACAACTAAAACTTCCCAGCACCGCCACCAAGCCTAGAGGCAGTTCAGGCCTTGTGTCTTGTAGTCCTCAGGGGCAAGAAGTTGCCAGGACAAGGCCAAGCTCATCACAAGTACTCACCACTCCACCATGAGGGGACGTTTCTCCTCCAGCGTCCGGTTGGGATCGATCTCAATGGGATAGTAATGGTGCAGCAGATCTTTCAGCTGGGGCGTTGTACAGATGGAAAAAGAACAGAGTGAACATCGCATCTAAAGAGACTGTAAACAACAAAAACAGCATTTCTAAATTCCTCCAAAGCATCACCCTTCCTAATGAAAAACACAACCCAAACCGTTTCACTAAGCAGCTTCGCTCTGAGCAAATCCGGAGATCTCGGAAGGAAGTGTTAACGCTCCAGCAGCCCGGCTGACTCTCACCTTGCTTCAGATCCTGCACGTACAGATGCACACCCCCCCTTCCTCCTCTTATCAGACCGAAAATGCCCACAGCTGAGCATGCAAATTAAATTTCCCTTTTTAACTTCTCCTTCCATCACCACTGGCTGAAATGCAGCCTGGACACTTGTGCCGCTGTCTGTCCTGGCGGCAGGGCGCAGCTTGGAGAGCTGTCACACCAGCCGCTGCCATCTCCTGATGGTGGGGGACCCCCCAGCCGCTGCAACCTCCTGATGGTGGGGGACGGGGACAAAAAACAGAGCCAAGAAGCAGTGCCTTACAAAACAGCACCTACCTTCTTCTTGCCGTCCTCACTGATAACACGACTGTTATCGAGGATATCTGTAAAGACAATAAAATGCCCATGTTGTAGCCCAGAAACATAAAAAAGGCTTTCTAAAAGGCAGCTATCCTGCGTCTCCAGTGCCGGGTCTTCCCAAAAACAAGCCGCGTGTGGCACATCGGCCTGAGCACAGGCTCGCCATGGGGTCCCAGCACGGCGGCTCCCACTGCGAACCTGCAGCAGGCGCTGATCGTAGGGCATTGCTCAGCCGGGAGAGAGCAGCGGCAAGGCGAGCACGCCGCAGGCTGCAAGCGTTGGAAGGAGAAGCAGCCAGACCAGGAGGCAGCTTCTGCAGCGGGCTGTGGGCTGCCTGGGGGCCAGCAGCCGCTGCTGCCAGCGGCCGAGGCCCGGAGCCGCACCGAGAGAGAACAAGACGGAGCGGTCAGACTCGGCAAAGGAGGGAGGCAGAGGACAACAGGAGCCACAGAGACCGAGAACACAAACACAGAAAACAAACAGAATTAGCAACAGTAAAACCAACGGCTTCAACTCACTGTGCGAAGTGGGGCAGCGTCGGCCGTTGCACCCAAACCTGCTCAGCGTCATGTCGAAGTCAGAAATGACCTGGAAGGCGAGAGAAGACCAAATCCGTGCGTGACCCAGCGCGCTCTGCCTTTGCCGTAGCGAGCCGTAGCTGCCTGCCAGGCTGCGAAGCCCGCGCTGCCGTGTCTCACGTCAGGGCGCAGACTCGCAGCAGGGCACGGCAGCAGCGAACGTTGAGGCTCCTGCCAGCCGTGAAGCAGATGTCCTCATCTGAGGCAGCCAGCACCCCTCCCACCCCAGCACTCTTATCAGCACCAAAAGGCTTAATTCTGCTGACTTATTGCCATGGGTGGAGAGGGGTGTTTGGGGATTGCTCGTATTTATAGCTTGCATGACAAGGAAGAAAAACGCCCATCCAGGGAGAGCCACCAGCCCGGGCCTCGGCAGGAAAAACAGCCTGGTCCCCCCCTCTCGCTGGGGCTTCTCCATCTGCAGCCCGTGCAGAAGGGGCCTCCTTGCAGGCGGGCTGGAGCAGCCGGGCTGGAGCAGCCGGGCCGGGCCCGGGGAGGCTGGGGAAGGGGGCTGCCGGAGACAGGGACCGAGCCCGACGGGATGCAGCGCCTGCTCCCAGCTGGGCCAGCCCCACCACGGCCGGGGCCGAACAGGACCGGTACCTGCAGCTTGTTCATCCCCTGCTCCTTGATGGACCGGATTATCCCCATCACACGCTCCGGCCGCAGGATGCGGACCGTGGCTTTCTCCAGCTCGGGCACCTGCGGGCAGAGACCCCCGTTCAGTGCCGCCCCCGGAGCCGGGCGGCTCCCGGCGGACCCGCGCCCTCCAGCCCCCGCCGCGCTCTCCGTCCCGGCCTTATCCCCTCTCCCCCCGTCCCGGGGCCCCGCTCCCAGCTCTGCTCCCCAGGGACCCCGCTCCCTC